TGAACTGAGATAATAGGTATTTTTAGGCTTTTATATCAAAGATATTTATGATATATTTAAGTTCCATGAGGGTTGGTTGGGTTGTGGTTGTGGACGTCATGTAATTTAAATACATGGTTGCATGCTGTCAGGAGTGGATGAGCTTTTATTTGCCGATTTGTTTTAACCAGTTTATTTAGGTAAGTATAAAATACCATTGGGGTTTTATATAATGTGCAGTGAGACTTCTTAGTTGACATATTATGTTAGGCATAGGTTTTAAGATGGAGGATTAAAAAGGACGTCATGTAATGAAATAATAATTTTCATGCCGTCGGGGATTAAAGAGGACTTTCATTACTAGTCTTTGCTTTAATAATTTAAATGAACTAGTATGAGAGTATGGTTAGGGATGTCTAGTATAATGTGCTCAGGTCATATTTCTGATAGTCATTATACCATGATGTGGGTGTTAATTGATGAACTGTTGAAATTTCTGTTTTGTCAATTGGATGGATATGGATGGTTTAAATTGTCTATCAATGCTTTAACAATTTAAATGAAAGTTTTATGATTATAATCATATACTGGATGCATGATAGGGTCTTAATACTATCTGAATTCTATTATGCTGGTTTCTGGATATATTTGATGTTCTAATGAATGTGCATCACTTGAGGATCATTTGCATTATATATACCTGTATGGGACGGTGACATATCAGGGATGGATTAGATCAAAAAGCTAAGTCTTACTCCTTCATACATAAGGAATGGATTAACTAAAATAGTTAAATCCTACATGGATGCATGTCCTATCAACTAAAATAGTTGAACGACATCATGGATGTTTGCTCTATATTTTTCTACAGTAAGAGGGATAGGGATTTATTTAAAACATTTAAATCCTAAGTAAATGTCGTGTCTTGGCAATGAACAGTTGAGCGGCTCTTCATTGGTTTTGGATGGAATTTATATATATATTTAAGTTACCACGATATGAGCTTGAGTCTCAGGATCGATGGTTAGGGAGCGTATATGCATTGGGATGCATAACTGGCTATGATGGTTTGATATGTGCCCTGCTAGGTCTGCTAGTCAGGTTAAGACAAGCCAGTAGTCCAGGGAAAGTCCTGTAGTGTGAATATATTTATATTTACGGACTATTTAGATATTGCTAAGCTATCTAGGATGTATTTGCGTATCGGGTTTATGTATGGATTGTAGTAGGTTGGAACTTGCATATGGGCCTGACCTACTCTTATTTTTCAGGTGTTCGTCAGTACCAGGCTTAGAGCTTGATCATGTTGATGCAGATACAAACACTCACTCTTCCGACTACATAGGATTTTCTTTCTTATTTTAGTTTTGGATTTTAATTCTGTAAATTTATTTATCGGTTGGGATTACTAGGAGTCCACTAAATGGATTCCCAAGTTGTACAGATTAAATATTTAAATTATATCAATCTTTTATTTTGGAGGACTTTTACAATTAGGAATCTTTTTAGCGCATTATTATTTTATTCTTAATTCTTTTGTTACTCTTGCTTGTTTACATATTGATTATTTGATATCCCTCGGATCTGTGCTCGGTCTTGATCACCCGTGGCTCTAGAATCGAGGGGTATCACACCAATCTTCTTCCTCTTGTGTCCAACAAGAAACCAAATTACTTTCTTCAAATTTATCTTTCAGGACTTGTGGCAAGACCCATCGTTGACATATAGGAACATCAACTATGTGACGGCCCAAGTTTTGTAAACCAGGTGCGTTAGTGATTACCAAAAGATGACCCGATAACGAATCCGAAATGCGGAAACGAAAGGTGAAACAATGGTCTCTAGAGATACAATGCGTCTCTAAGACACCAATGTGAGCCTCAATGAGGTCACGGAACCCAAAGAAAAACAAATGCGGAAGTGTCGTTTCAAAAACGGACAAAAAGGAACCTAAGGGCAAAATGGTCAGTTTACAAAAAGTGGATTCAAGTGCTATTAAGCACACTGCTGGGAAGACAATGAAAAACTAATCATGATGAACTCAAGAATTGCATTATTTGGAGTCCGGACGAAGGAGAAAGGTCAAAAACAAAAATGATGTAGTAGCGGCTCAACAAGGACAGCCCATTACTGCTGCAACTGAGAGTAAAAAATCAGGTCAATGGGGTAAAAATTACTCCGAGCTACTGCCCAAGGAAAGGAAATAGGGCTTCGGGAGGTTTTTAAATTGTCTAAATTGAAAATGCAATCTTAAAATACACCCACAAGACCCTCAGAAGTTTCGAATTGATCGAGACGATTTTTGAAAAAAAAGTCGATGAATAGAACCAAGTACATTTGTACTAAAAATCTGTAAAACCTGGCAGCAAGGATTTTTCGGACAAATATTGATTTTTGAGGGCCAAGATGACGTTTTCTGAAAAAACACAAAGAAGAACCCCCCCCCCCCCCCCTCGAAATCGAGTTTTCTACTCAGCAACATGGGCGAAAATGAAAAAAAAAAAAAAAAAAAAAAAAACGCATTGTGAAATACCCGAAATGCCCCTGGAACAGAATAGGGTAAAACCTCAATAAAATGCAACCTTAAGTTTTTGTTTTATCAAGAAGGGTATTGTTTGCCAAAGTGAGCATGCTAGTGTATGTAATATGATAAAATTGATGTGCTACAATGGCCTATGGCCTCATTACAATACATTTACATGTTTGGGCATACTAAGCCTCAAATTCTCACAATAAGCTACAATAGCAATACTTTAGTTTTAAAGGAAACATACTTGTAACCTTTCAAGTTAATGGCCATTGGCCTCATGTCATACATGTAAAATGAACACTTCCAAATGTACTTAGATACATATTACAAAAAGGAAGCCATCTTAGCTTCTAAAATACCATATATCCATGGCATACAAAATATAACATCCAAAAGATAAAACATGCTAAACAAGTGCATGTCCCTATATAAAAATGCTTCAAGTGCTCATGAGCCCTTATGGATGATGAGTATCCACAAATATCGTCTCCTTACCTGTAAAATAACCCACACAACTAGGGTGAGTAATCAAGTTACTCGTAGGATGTGGTGCATGCGCATATCCTATAGTTTCAAGTATAATGTGAACCAGACATAGATCATCACAAAGGTACATTCTACCTAACGTCTATGTTTTCAAGGTACTCTAAGGGATCATCTCAAGTTATACAAGTATTTGAAATGACAACCACATAGCATCTAAGTATACATGAACAAGTACACTAACCGCATTGAAACCAAAATCACCAAATCACAAGCTACAAGAAATCCGTGATTTACAATTTGGAATATAATGCGAAATCAAAAAATGGAAAGACTAGGATATGTGGCCACGAGACCATACAAGTTATTTTGGGTAATTACGACCCACAAGGTACTACCTAGTGCGCACTATGACTTAGGAGAATTCTTATCCTCCGTACTAGAGCCAAACCCTAGCCATCAAACATTTCATATCCTTACAAGCTTCCAAAAATCAACAAGTCCATGACATTTATATAATCTCAATGCATGAAACTACCTACCAAGCACAAGTAGGGTGAAACCACATAAACCATGCCCTAAGGTTGCATGTCTAAAGTGGCAAGCTAATGATACTACACATTATGCTATATGAATTCATTATTAATGTAGGCTACAATTACTAACCATGCAATATAGTAATTTACCTACAAGTAATTACAAGTGCCACATACAAGATTTTCAATGAAATCTCCATTACTTAACAACATAAGTGCAATTTCAAGATATTCATAATAAACCCTCAATGAAATCACAAGTATTAGGCAAATCATTAAACAATAACCTGCCTATACAATTTAATAGTTATATACATACTTTAATCCCCAAATTCTAAGTCAAGCATATAAAATCTCTATTTACATGCAAATACAAGAATTTAAAAGGCATGTAATCAATATATATTAAGCTCCAATATATATAATACCCAAAGAGGATAAACATACAACCACCTCTACCTCAATAAAGAATTGAATCTCTATAATCTAAGCAACCAAGCTCAAAATGGAAAACAAGTTTAGGGTTAATGAAGAGGAGAATGAGAGGAAAATTTTGTGTTCCAAGGTTTTAAGTCTAGGGTGAATGGAAGGAAGCCAAAAATGAAGTCAAAGCTATTAACTAAGCTTTTCTCCAATGGTGGCTAGGTTAGGGTTCCTGAAGACAAGTGAAAATGAAAATGATAAAGTGTAAAATGGTGAGTGGAAGGGCTAGAAATCCTCCAATCACTATGTGCTCTTACACTACCTCTCTCACACACACAATGCAAGACTAAATGATGAACCTACACTTGTCATGAATCTATGGTTCATTCCTAGGCTTAATCTCAAGCTTACACTTGTCACCATCCTATGTAAACTTCCAAGACTTAATATTGAACCTACATTTGTCAACCATCTATGCCAACAAGTGCACCAATCCTAGGCCAACAAGTGGGTGAATCTCCACCCTCCATATGTCATCATCCAAGGCATCAAAGTGTTTCCACACAAATGTCAACAAGTGTACCAATGAAAGTGTGACACTTGTCACACTTTCTGAAAATTGCAAACAAGTCCTTTTTAAAAATATCTTTCAAATTAAATTGTAAAATGGTCACTCAGACGAAAAATAAATATTTTGCACAATTACACTAAAACCCCTCAAGTTTAGGTTAATTACTAAAAAGTCATGCTTTCATGCACTTTACAAGAAAAGTAAACATCCAATATATTTTTCTACAAAAGTGAAAATGCAGATATCATAAAAATGAAATATCATGGATGTATGCCAAGCCGGAATCAAATCTGAGTACAAAAAGTGAGGTTAAGTAAGGAAAAATGAAAAATGACTAAAGGACGAAAAAGGGAAAAGACGAAAAAAAAAAAGAAAAAGAATTTTCGAGAAAAGAAAGGAAGGAAAATGATAATTGTGTGGGCTCCACTTGAAAACTAATTGTTTGATATTTTGTAGTCTGAGAGTGTTGTGTCGATTTTCTATTTATATCAGTATCAGTTTGTGAGTTTGAGAATGATACAAAGCAGAGAAGAAAATATAGAGGAACACACACACAGCCGAGATACAGAGAGAGAGTGAGACACACAGAGTGGGCTAAGGTTCGCTTTTTGATGATTCAATAAGGAGTAATTGTTTTACAGTGTAGGGTTCTTTATACCTTGAATTACCTGGATGATTTTATCTCAAATATTTGATCACTGCTTTTTTGTTAAATTGCATATATATATATTTTTTGTTCAAAAGTATATGTATATTTTGTGAACTACTTTTTATGAAACCTCTTTGAGATTCTTGTTATGGTTTTTCATACTGGGACTTCCCCCATCTCACCCCCTTCCTGTTTCAGGTACCGAGGATGAACGTGGATTCATAGTTGCGGGCTTAGGTGAAAGAGTTGGTGTTGAGGAATTATTCAATTTTATTTAGAGATTTATTTATTTTTTTTTTGTATTTAATTTGAGGAATTGATTCGTATCAATAAAATGATATTTCTTTTGAGATCCTGGGTGTAGTACTGAAGTATTTTGATTTAAATAAATTGAGAAATTTTATTTAGAATTTTCGGGACGTGACAATATCAAAAATTAGTTTTCAAGTGGAGCCCACACAATTATCATTTCCTTTTGCTTTCCCATTTCGCTGCCCCCTTATCCTCTTCCATCTGATGACACACTTTATATAAATGCATAAAATCAAAGTCAAAAGAATTGCCTAACAAGTCATCCAAGTGAGACCCGCAAACAACAAATTATTTCTCCTATATCGACTGATGCATCTCCTTTAGTAGATACAGCATACACATACACACAAAAAAACTAACCCATCACCTATCGCGTGGGACCCACCAATACCCATTACCAATTCATTTTCTCTTTCTCCATTTTCGGGTGGGTGCATCTCCCTACCATATTCCTTCAACAGATGATATATATATATATATATATATAATTCGACCCATTAATTTCATGGGACCCGCAAATTCCCAATTTACCATCACAAAAATAATCTTTCTTCTCCCACTTGCGGCTGCTCATTTTTTCCCACAGACATCAAAAATATGTATATGCATATATATCTTACACATGCAACACGGAAACCAAATCAACCAATTTCTCTCTCCTCCTTATCTCATTTCGGCCAGCCCTCCATACAACAGATGCTACAATATACATATATATATATATATATATATATATATATATATGTATCAATTGTAACAAAATAATTTAACTCCATAAATACTCCATCTTTAAAATTCAAATGGGACCCGCGAAAATATCACAAATCCCATTTTTTTATCTTTGCACCCACTTTCGGCTCACTGTACCTCCTCTCTATCAGATGGATGATACAATATATATATCATATATATTATACAAACAAATGCAAAAATTCAATTAACCCATTAAATCTCCTTTCAGCAATTTCGTCCAAAAAATTTTACCAATTAAAATATCAATTGGGTAAATCTCAAATTTAAACAATTAATTTTGACAACTAATAATCATGAAATAAATAAATTTTAACTCTTAAAAATCTGGGTTGTCATAGATATTTTGTAGTCTGAGAGTGTTGCGTCGATTTTCTATTTATATCAGTATCACTTTGTGAGTTTGAGAATGATACAAAGTAGAGAAGAAAATATAGAGGAACACACACACAGCCGAGATATATAGAGAGAGAGGCGAGACACACAGAGTGGGCCGAGGTTGGCTTTTTGATGATTCAATGAGGAGTAATTGTTTTACATTGTAGGGTTTTTTATACCTTGAATTACCTGGATGATTTTATCTCAAATATTAGATCACTACTTTTTTGTTAAATTGCATATATATTTTTTTTGTTCAAAAGTATATGTATATTTTGTGAACTACTTTTCATGAAACCTCTTTGAGATTCTTGTTATGGTTTTTCCTACTGGGACTTCCCCCATCTCACCCCCTTCTAGTTTCAAGTACCGAGGATGAACGTGGATTCATAGTTGCGGGCTTAGGTGGAAGAGTTGGTGTTGAGGAATTATTTAATTTTATTTAGAGATTTTTTTTTGGTATTTAATTTGAGGAATTGATTCATATCAATAAAATGATATTTCTTTTGAGATCTTGGGTGTAATACTGAAGTATTTTGATTTGAATGAATCGAGGAATTTTATTTAGAATTTTCGGGGCATGACAAACTAGGTCCTCATTAGTTAAAGCCAATGTTGTAGCTAAATTTGCCAAAGCATCAGCTATCCGATTTTCTTTCCTCAGAATGTGCTCTAGCATGACGTTATCAAATCGTTTCAACAAATGAGAGGCATAATGATGGTACAGCACTAGATCATCTTTCTTAACCGCATATTCCTTAAAAAGTTAGTTGATCACCAATTTAGAATCTCTATATATTTCGAGATCCGTGATCTTCATCTCATTCGCCATTTGAAAGCTGATGATCAAGGCTTGATATTCAGCTACATTATTTGAGCAGTTTTCAGCGAGTGCAAAAGAGTATGGAATGACATGTCTTTTTGGAGAAACAAAAATAACACCTGCTCTACCCCCGTCTGATCGTGCTGCCCATTAAAAAACATCATTCATAAAGGGAGGATGTCCACAAGGAAGACTTCTTCATTAGGAAAATCTTCAGAAATTTCCCAATCGGCTAGAATAGGATGGTCAGCTAAGAAATCTGCTAGGACTTGTCCTTTCACTGCTTTTCGTGGCACATAAACAATTTTAAACTCATTGAATAAAATTGACCACCTCACTAAGCGTCTGGAAAGGACCGGTTTAGACATGACATATTTGAGAGGATCAGCTCTTGCAATAAGATGTATTGTATGAGCCAAGAAATAATGCCTCAATTTCTTAGAGGCGAAGACAAGTGTGAGGCATGTTTTTTCAATTAGAGGATAATTTCGCTCCGTCGGGGTGAGCCTGTGACTTAAGTAATACAAGGCTTTTTCTTTATAATCTTCATTATTCTGAGCAAGTAGGGCACCAAGTGATTCTTTTTGCGCGGGAATGTAAAGTATGTACGATTTTCCAGGTACAGGTGCTCCTAATACCGGAGAATTGAGAAGGTTCTTTTTAATGCTATCAAAAGCATTTTGGCAAGATTGGTCCCAATTGAATGGGGTGTCTTTCTTCATGAGTCGGTTAAAAAGTTGACAACGACCAGCTAAATTTGAGATGAACAGACGAATGAACGCAAATTGACCTTGTAAACTTCGAAGCTCACGTAAATTCTTTGGTAGCGGCATCTTTTGAATGGCCTCAACTTTATGAGGATCAATCTCAATACCACGATGACGTACGACGTATCCCAGGAATTTCCCTGAAGTCACACCAAATGCACATTTAAGAGGATTCATCTTGAGTTGAAATTTTCGGAGGCTATTAAAAACTGTTCGTAGATCCTGTAAATGATTTCTTCACTCTTTTGTCTTAACCACTAAGTCATTAACATAACATTCAATAATCTTGTGAAGTATATCATCAAAGATCCTTTGCATAGCGCACTGGTATGTTGCTCCTGCATTCTTGAGTGCGAAAGGCATAACTTTGTAGCAATATATGCCTTTAGGAGTGCGAAAGGCAGTTAATTCCTCGTCCTTTGGAGTCATCCTTATCTGATTGTACCCGGAGTAACAATCCATGAAAGAGAGAGCTTCATACCCCGTGGTTGCATCTACAGTGAGCTTGGGGAAGGGAAGGGAAAATCATCTTTTGGGCATGCCTCATTCAAATAACGAAAGTCCATATAGATTCGAATCTATCCATTTTTCTTCTTCACTCGAACAATGCTCGAAATCCATGTTAGATATTTGACCTCATGAATAAACCCTACCTCAATCAATTTGTTGAGTTCTTCCTCTAGTCTCAGAACTAGCTTTGAACGGAAGAAACGTTGAGACTGCTTAATCAGACGTGTCCCATGTTTGACAGCAAGATTGTGCACTGCAATTTTAGGGTTAAGACTGGGCATCTCTTTGTATGTCCAAGCAAAGACATCCTTGTACTCAGACAATAATTGAAAGTAATCATTTTCTTCTGAATGCACTAATGAAAATTGGTTTGGGTTGATCATCAGTCCCTAAGTTGATTTCTTTGAGTTGATCAATAATAGCCTGCCCCTCATCTTCTAGTGTTAGTGGAGCTTTCTCGATGTCATCTGGTTGTTCAGAGTCAGGTTCCTCTTCAATAGTGATGTGGTATGAAGTAACACAAGATGATTTGCCAATGTCTTTTGTTCTATTCACCTTTTCTAATTGATTAGTGAATACAATGGTTCGCCTTCGAGCTTTTAGTGTAATATCATTGGTGACATCTACCTCTGTCTTACATTTCATTAGCGAGGGCACCAGGCTTTGAACTTCACTATTATTCACCACGTCAATGTTAGCTTCCTCTGTCTTTCCACTCTTGCTGCTTCTTAGCGGTACATCATTAATAGTACCAATTAGAGAAAATATTGACTTTCAAGATTGAGGTTGTGGAGATTTTCTTCCTTGGCTATGAAAGCTTATTTTGTTAAAAACAAAGGTACGAGGCAAACTGTTAACATGAGAACTTGAGACATTTGATTCTTGGCTCGATAACCTATTGAATATAGATGTTTGAGCACATGAAGCTCCCATACGGTCAAAAACTGATTTTTGATGCATAGTCTGCTGATCTTGTTCATCGTCAACTTCTTCGAACCCAATGTATAAAGTGTTTAACTTCTTATCCTTTTTTGTAATTTGAATTCGAAGTGGCTCAGAAGCTATAAAATTGAGACCGGACTTGGGTGGAATGATTTTATACTCTTATTCTTTCAACTTCTTCTGTGTTTCATTGAGGCCATTCACTTTCTCATCGGTGACCTCAGAATTTAGTTTTCCAAGACTTGCAGGATTTGTAAAATCATACCCCGACTTAGCCAAGAGTTGGTATGTGACCGGTCCTCTTTTACAAATGGGTTGCTTCCCTTTATATAGAAGGTCCTTTCCTTAGTCACTAAGTCTAGAATATATGCCCAAAAATATCTAATCCCGCAACTTTTTGGTAGGTGAACTTTGGGCGTGCACGGAAAAAGTGACAGCTTGCTGCCAGCATGTCCAGTTCGATCGATCCAACTTATTTTCGATCGATCCAACTTTTTCGATCGATCCAACTTATTTTTCGATCGATCCAACTTTTCTGATCGATCCAACTAAAAGTTCGATCGATCCAACTTTTTCTGCGATCCATCCAACTTTTCAGCTTTTTAGTATCAGTTTCTTTTTACTCCAAATCAGCCTCTTTTTGCTCCGGATCATCGCTAAGACTTAGTTTGACTCCAAAAAGGCCTTAAGAACTCATTTTTAGCCCATTTTAACATTATTGACCTGAAATAGACAAAAACACAAATAAGTACTAAAACGGGTAAATAAGATAGATAAAGGTCCTAGAATACTCAAGCTTAAGGGGTTTAAATGTGTACTTTTCAGCGCTCATCACACCCCCAAACTTAAATATTGATAGTCCCTAGCA